ATCCTCAATACTTATCAAAAAAGTAACATGATAGAGAGTAAATACATTCTAAATATCACTTGCACTACCAAATTGCACAGACCCTAGTACTTGCACTACCAAATTGCACAGACCCTAGTACCTCTGCCCCAGATTTCCAAGGGGCTCATTTGGTGTCACCACCTAATCTGACAGTTAACAAAGAATGTCAACAGAAAAAATTTAAAAGTGCTAGAGAGTGAAACATATTTCTAGCAATAAACGGGGGAAAGAGAGCCCAACAAAAGCTGAAAACAAAAACAAAAACAAAAACAAAAACCCATGTAGTGAGCCTCAGCTCAAAAACTCCGTAATTTCAACAAAAAGCAGTCAATTCGGGCTTCCCTGGTGGCGCAGTGGTTGGGGGTCCGCCTGCCGATGCAGGGGGCACGGGTTCGTGCCCCGGTCCGGGAGGATCCCACATGCCGCGGAGCGGCTGGGCCCGTGAGCCATGGCCGCTGGGCCTGCGCGTCCGGAGCCTGTGCTCCGCAACGGGAGAGGCCACAACAGTGAGAGGCCTGCATACAGCAAAAAAAAAAAAAAAAGCAGTCAATTCTAATGAGAGGCATCCCCAACCATTCAGACCCAATTCGTGGAACAAGAGATGTGCTGGATGGCTGTAGGTGACATACACTCACCTGTTCTCACCCTGGCTAGCCCTGAGAATCAACAAGGGTGCAGTGGTGCCAGGCTAAGGTGACTTTCCTTTGCTAAAGTCTCTAAAGTGCATCAGTTCACTCAGAAGAAGGCATCTTTTTGGAACGTATCCCAAATGAACATGATTCTTATTTGCTACTCTCTCAAGACTACTACATCCTTAACCCCATGCTCCTGTGGCTATGACATGAAAACATGCATTTGGACAACTGAATTGCTTGGAGCAGTAATTTTGTATTAACACAATGGATAGGTCTATCTCCTGTACTGACATTATCCATAAGTGTAGCTTTTTCATTCTTGAAAACACAGATCGAAATGGAGTATAGGAAGTTTCCACTGGATGGCTATCACCCCCTACCAAATACGGCATCTTTTTTTCCCCAAATATCACATCTTGTAGCAGTGATAAATACAGAAAATCTGGCAAGAACTATCATTTTGTAGGAAGTCTCTGTTATTTATTGATACCACTGAGTTAATCTTCAAAATGATTTTCTCCCTCAATCATTGTTTCTTATCAGACAACAAAAGACTTAAGAGTTGAAAATCCCAACCAATCCAGGAGATCTTGAGGATTTTGCCCAAGATGTTTTGGATGTTTTTGCTTTAAAGAGAGTTAGATTATTTAAGAAAATTGTTCTCAGCATTAGACACACTGGTTTAGATCCCAGCCACACTGAGCATTGCTTCTCTGTAAGTCCAAAATTGAACTTGAGTTTGTGCTTAATGTTATTCTTCTGCAAAATGAACCTCTAATGACTTATGTTATATGTTTTTAATATTAAATGAAATAATATACATTAAATAAGAGGTAAAGTACCCAGTGCAACTGAACAAACATTAGGTAATGTTCTTATAAGAGATTATACCACTTAACTAACTGAGAAGTCTGAGATAAGTTTCTTCCATCATGAAAGGATGGATGTATTATATCTGAAGACATTAGAGAAAATACTAGAAGTGGGTGTGGTACACACGTGTATGTATAATCCTCATAGTCTGCTGTCGTGACTTAAATATTTTGAACTTCAGGTGAAACTATTTTCTCTCCACGCAAAACTTAATATTTTCAAGTCACATTCTATAATTACTTGAACTGCTGACAATCTAGAAAAACAGGGATTCTGGAAATAAATCCCAGCCAATATATCTAGCTGATATGCATCCACGCCAGAGGAACACCTTATATGCCAGCTCAGTGTCATTGAAAAAGAAAAATTAAAAGTTAAATAAGAAAGTGTTTTCTCTCCCTCAGCCCTCTAGTTCATTTTTATATCTTCCATCTACGTTTTTCTGCATTTCTCCCAAGCTGCAGTGCCATTTAAAATATGCATTTGTAATGTATTTGCTTCAGAATAGCGTAAAACCGTACACATTGAAAAGGTATTCCTAAAACACAAAACCCACAAGGAGCCATCTGAGGAATTTCCATCTCAGCCTCCCTCCTTTATAGAAATGGAAACATTTTCATCTAATAATGTATCTAAATCAATACGGTCCCCACGACCATCACATGCCAATTGCGCTGATGGCACAACTCTTGAAATTTTCAGAGTCAAAGAAACGCAAGACACCTAGAACTTGAAGAGATGCTCCCTTTCAAACTTCAACTCCATGAGAACATGGCAACAGACTTCAAACATCAAATGTATCATTTCCCACAGAACAATATTTATTTCTCCTTTGCTGAAACTGCCCAAAGTGATTCAGGTCCTGGAAATGTGACTTGTTAAGGACATTTGTAAAAGGACATTTAATTCATCCTTTTCTCTTGTCCTAAAAGACATTAACTTCCCCCAACTCCATCTCAACCCCGGCAAGAGCCACTCAAATCGAGGACGGTCAGAAAGGCATCTGGAATAGGACAGTAGGCCTTGACAACTGTGGATGAAAGATTATTAAGCTCAGCTCTTCAGAAAATACCTTGATTGTCCATGACATATGGTCATTTCTTTTTGTTTAGGACTCACAGAGTTAGGATCAACAGCAGGAACCAGGCAAAATGTCTACCAGCCTGGGCATTTTGTTGTAGCAGCATTACTTAAAGGTGTACCCTGCATAAACTCTCCTGCTCTTCCTGGAGGCATGAACACATGGGGTCTATTGGAAACTGGCCATTTAAAAAAAAAAAAAGAAAAAGAAAATCTAGTGCTCTTTTGGAAGTGAAGAAGTCTGATATTATGATGCTCATTGGCAGAAAAATAAAAGGTTTAAGGGACAAATTATGTCCTTTAGTGGTATATGGAAACTTGCAAGAATCATAAGGATTTCGAGAAGAGCTGACCAATAGAACTTTCTGAAGAAATGGGAATGTTCTATATATGCTCTAACAGGTGCACTTGAAATGTGGCTAGCCTGACTGAGGAACTGAATCTTAATGCTCAAATTTTATTTAAATTTAATTAACTTAATTTAAAATGTAAATAGTCATACATAAGTAGTGACTACTACATCGAACTGAGCAAGTTCAGAGTCATCACTCAGAGTTTACTGAGAGCCTTTCTACACTGGTTTATTTTCTCAAAAACTGTTATACAAGGAAACAGGTCTCAAACATGTGTATTAATATTTATGACTATGCGATTGCAAAATCACAGTGAATTAAACATAAATGCACTATCTCTACTAGTTGAAACTGTACCAATCTGCTTGACCTATGGGCTTTTTCCATGTCTGTTATGGCCTTACAGAGAAAGAGGTGAAATTAGAAGGAAAGAGTCACTTGCTTGCCTATTTTGCAATCAGTGTGTGCCTGCATTAGTATCAGAACGTCATAAGAAAAACCAGAATGGAGAGTGAAAAACAACAGCAACAACCAGGAGTATTTGATGGAGAGGGAAGATGTAAAGGATTAAAGGACAGTAATCTTTCATTCCTACTACTGTTCAGAATAGGAGGTCCATGTGCCAACAATCAGATAAAGTGGAAAGCTAATACATTTTAAGACGTATTTTGCCAGCACAGCAGAATGCAACCATAGGACCCAAGAATTCTGAAGCTCCAAGGGCCTTTAAACATTATCCATTTCAAACTCTCCTGCAGATAAGTAAGTAATTTGAAGCCCAGAGAAGTGAAGTGTTCAGTGTTCCTGAGATAATAGCCAACCTCAGTCCCAGATCTCCCAGTTTGAGTTCTCTCCACTATGACTTTCACGCTCATTCTGCTGAACACAGACTGAGTCTTGAGCAGAGAAAAGAGCCTCATCTCCATCCCAACAAGTCCCAACCTCCGGTGAGTAGAAAATAATGTTTTAAACATGCTGCTGTGCTTGATACAAAAGTTCCCTTCACCAACACGGCATTCC